GAAAGAGAAGGGGAATAAGGGGCAGAGAGACGTATCAATTAGAAAAGTAAAACAGCTTTATTACTACTACGAATAGTAATAATAAGAAAAAAATGGAATATATACAAATCCAGTGTCGAACACAATTCCCCCCCACCAATGGCAATACATCACCAGCACCCCCCAGCTGAGGAGCAGCCACCAGGCAAAGTCCCAGGCTGGACTCAGCTACAGACAGCCACTGACTGGGACAGGAGCTGCATCCTGTCCCTGGGCTCAGGAGCACAGGGCTCAGATCAAAGGCAGGATGGATGGAGTCCTCCTCAGGTGCGGCCACTGCAGGAGCAGCAAAGGCCAGGAAGAAGGCAGAAGGGATGACAAGAAGGGGTTGCCCCTCTTGATCCTTCAGCTTTTATACTGAATATGAGGGATATGGGATGGAATACCCCACTGGTGACATTTAGGGTCACCTATCCTGTCCATTACTCCCTGCAGGTGCAGCTTTACTTTCTGCCCTCTCTGTGTGGTTCACAAGCTTAGCAGTGACCTTGGTCTGCATCCCAATCCCTGGCAGTAACTCTAAACATGGAGTGTTACCACTGCTAGAAGCATACAGGCTGCAAAAATATGCTGTTAGCTTCAGACAGTGCAGTTAATTAAAAGAGCTGTAGCTGAAAGGTAAGATCATTGAACAGAACCAGCTCTGTTCTACCCCAAATGGGGACCAGAGGAAAAAATAACATATTTGGAGCTCAGTTTAGGAAGAGCTTTAAGACTATCATAATAAGCCATAACTTCAGAGAGGCAATTGGAGTTACCTCAGCTCAGGCCAGTTCTCGTGTGAAATTTTTCACTCCACAAACTTGATCTTGTTTGCTGCAGACATTTCAGCCATAAATCCAAAAGTGACAGTGAAGTTTTGACCTGCACTGACTTCAAATGAGACATGTCCGTGTCTCATTCCAAATCCTTAGACTTAGCAGACTTTATTTGAGGGATGGGGGAAAATTCCAACTAGTCTCATGAATCACTATTTATTAAATACACTGGATAAAGAAAAATGTCATGACTCAAACCATTATGATTTATTATGGAATGTTAGCTGAGGTATCTGTCCTTTTAGCAATGAGGTGACAAGGAACTTAAAAACAACAAAAGAAAAAGTCAAGAAAACTACTGAATGTTTTAAATTTAATTTTTAAACTTAATTTCTACCAAAGCTCCCCCATCTGTGCTACTGCAGTAGAGAAATACAGGGAAAACTAATTCAGCTTTTACACGTATATGGACATCCTGCCTTCAGTTGTCATCTTTCTCTAGAGACAGTTGTATGTAGGCTTCAGTTAAAGTGTATCTGCCTTCTTAAATGTTCAGGTAGGACACCTATCCTGAAAAAATTGAACTAAAATCTTAGTCTCTGGACAAATAGTTCCATTCCAGTCTTACAGAAAGCAAATTATCAGAACCATTGTAGCCTGCCTCACATTTTACAAAGCTAAATCAGTTGGAACTTTGTAGTATTTAAATCAATGGAACTTTTAGTATTTATCACTGTTGCCAGCTTCTCCAACAGATTTTATAGCATTCATGTAATAGGGAGAATCTTGTGTGTGTATATATATATTTTTTTTTTGTAAGACTTTAACTTTCCATTTGTGTACAGCAAAGTAAGAGACTTTCTATCCTCTCCTTCATTGAGAGAGCATTCATAAGAACAACATTCACAGTCTGCTTACAGAAAAGATCCCTTGACATATTGGTTAATGCTGCCTCTTTGTTTATTCCATGGCACTTAAAGCCCAAAAGACTGTTGGAGAGTTCTTCTGAATTCTGTCACTCTTAAAAGCAGAAAATTTGTACTCTCAAAACTTGTGTTCCTGAGTCTACAGATCAGTTAAGGTATGAGCACTTCTTAGAACAGAATATTCCCTTCATACAGTGAAGGCAACTTCTTCAAGGCAGATCTTCCTTTCTGCCTTTTTTAGTTGCTGTTTTCACAAAATTGTTTTGCTAGAATCAAAATTCAAGTATCACCCTAAGAAAAATCAGTTATTCTGTCTCCTTTCCTGAACAAAAGAGAGACCAGACATATGCCTGATATAGATAAAGGTATGGATACTTCTGCCACTCTCTGGTTGTTTTGTTTTTAAAAGGGTAGGAAATATTTGGTCTATCTGAATGGGGGTTGAAATTTGCTTGCTGTCAATTTTAATGTAGAATTTGTAGGTCACCCTGCATTACTTGCTGATTTTTTTTGTTCTTGTGTTATGCATTTTATCTGAGATTTGTTGGTATCATGTCACAGATTTTGAAGGTGACCACTTGCATAACTTCACAAATAAGTAATTTTGTCTCAAAATCCAGGTGTAACTTCCATAGGATTGTATTTAGAGTGTTTTTCAAAGAAGCTTCACATAAAAAGTGGTGCTTTGCCTTTTAAAAATTTGTTGATCATTCTCTCAGAAGGTGGTCTTGCTGTCAGATGATGGGCAAGATCTTTTTTAATGTACTTTTGTGCAGAATAGCTTCTGAATAGCTTCTGAACCTGAAACATCAGGAAAAAATGTCTGGAAGAGCTGTATTTCAGGTAACTGTATGTGCAGGTTTGTATATTCCCATTTGAATATTCTTTGTTTTTTTCCCCTTTGCTTTTATCTAGATTTTTCAACCTGTGAATTAAATATTTTCATTTGTTCCATACCATCCCTCTGGCTTCAGATGTTTGTTGCAGAAGCAGTCTTTAAAAAAATGTGTTTACAGAGGAATGTAACTATTTCTGCAGAACCTCTTTCTCTTCAGAAAATAGTAAGTAACTCTTCTCCTTAATAACCTATCAGACTTAAGCATTTTACAAGTAATGGGTTTCATGAAAATCTCAGAAAATACCTTTCTTTTGTGGTCTGAGGTCATGCTCTTTGGATGCATTGTCTTCCACCTGTAGGCAGCCTCTACTGGATTTAAATTTCTCTTTGCCTGAGATATGGGTTCAAAATAATGGTAAGATTTTTCTTGCCAGATAATTTGTAATGTGATTAGTCAGTCAGTGTGCAGTTAACATGAAAAGTCATAATGGAATCTTTAAAAAATAATCTCTGATGTAAGCACTTCATTGCAGTGTTACATTTTGTAATGGAGGAAAATACCAAATACAGTGTGATTTTCCTGGCTTATCTTTTCCTTCAGGTTTTTTGAAGAGGTGACAGTCTATTATTCTACAGGCTCCAAACAGTTATTACATGCAAAATGTTATGATTTTGAACCATAGGGTATTCCTGTGAATTTCACCTCTTGATAGCTTTCTCCTACTTGGAAACCTTTTCCTGCCTTCAAGTCACAATCTGTGATAGGTGGTGAGGAAAAACATGATGGAAGCTGTAAAAGGAACTTTTAAACCTATGGCTGCTCACAGAATGCAAGGCAAATCAGGGAGGTCACTTGTTAATAACAGGCCCTAATTTAGAGCCTCATTTTGGTAACCTTAATACTAACGACTAAACAGATTATGGAATCCATAACTGTTTCTATATTTCCTAAAATTCTACAGGTAGAATCAAAGAAAAATAAATTTACACCTGTGTACATTTTCCATACCTAAGTTTTCTTGAATTTTACAGGAGTTTGGGAACTGAGATCATTGTTTATTAATACATTGTGTTTAAACAGAGCTTGAACAAAAGACTGTCAGAATTTTAAAAATAAACCAACTATATATCTAATATTTAATGTATGTTGCCAACACATATGCAGGAGCAATTGCTATTTTTAGTATTGCCATGACTACTGATCACTCTGCAACTACTTAAATGTAAATTTTTTGTAGGGCTTGAAACACGTTTTCTGTGCTTTTTGTGGTTTTCCTTAGCATTACTGTGGCTCCTGTCTCGTTCCATACAATAAATATTAACTATCATCCAATTTTGACAGCTCTTCTCTCATACAGCATCTTATCAGCTAAGCTTTTCTATGAGTTCAAGTAGTGACCTCCTGCTCTGTGGTGGTAAATGTACAGTGAAAGTGGAAGTAAGGTGTCTTACCCATTGCAGGTTGTGTGGAGAATCTACAGGGATCTGCTAGATACACCAGGCCTTCTTTAATTGCTTTCTTCACATCTAATGCTCATGTAATCACTGAATGAGTTCCATCACTGGCCTTTTGCCCAGGCTTTTGCCAAACTGCAGAAACTTGTGTGACATCTTTAAAATGAGCCTTATAGGTGGGCTGGAAGCTCTGTATTACTGGGAAGAAGCCAAAATATCTACAACATCCAATGTTATCCTCGTAATCATGGGATCACAGACTCTTTTGGGTTGGAAGGGAGCCTTCAAGGTCATCCAGTCCAACCCCCTGGAGGGAGCAGGGACATCCCCATCCAGAGCAGGTTGCTCAGAGCCCCGGCCAACCTCCCCTGGGATGGTGCCAGGGATGGGGCAGCGACCACCTCTCTGGACAACCTGGGCCAGGTGCTCAACACCCTCAGTGTAGAACTGTTCTTTCTTCTCTCTATTTTATATCTCCCTTCTTTTAGTTCAAACCCATCACCTGTTGTCCTCTTGCAGGAGGCCCTGCTCAAAAGTCTGTACCCAGCTTTCTGACAGACCCCTTGAAGTCCTGAAAGGCCACCTGAGGGTCTCCCCAGAGCCTTCTCCTCTCCAGGCTGCCCAAGCCCAACTCTCCCAGCCTGGCCTTGCAGCGGAGGGGTTCCAAATGAGAGAGCACCTAAGAGACACACCTTAATTGCTTTCACAATCCTCTGAGGGTTGATCCAACCCCCCTCATCTCAGAAGAGATGGAGGGGAGTGAGTATTTCTCCACCAAATTACTCCCTGGGTTTTGGTCCCTGGGTTGGTAGCAGGAATCTTGTAAATACTTTAACTAAGTACTTGAGAATCAGTTAGCTTCACTTCAGTCTTGTGTCCAGCTAAAGTGATAAAAATTTACTCAGCTACCAAAATCCCAAGAGAAGTGCAGAATTTCCCACTTTCTGTTTCAGACAAAACCCACTCGCCTCTGAGGCCAGCATAAAGAGTGGAAAGGGGAAGTTTAGACTGGATATTGGGGGAAAAAAAGTATTTCCTGAAAGGGATGTGAAGGCCTGGCTTAGGCTGCCCAGGGCAGTGGTGGAGTCCCCACCCCTGGAGGGGTTTCCAAGCCGTGGAGATGTGGGGTGAGGGACACGGGGCAGTGGGGACCTGGCAGGGCTGGGGGATGGTTGGACCTGACAGCCTGGAAAGCCTCTCCCAACCCAAACAGTCGTGTGATGCCACGATTCTGTGGTTCTAGTGACAGGAACAGGAGAAAAGATTGCAGAAGACAACTTTAAACAATCTATACATGTTTTGGGATCCTGTTTTTAAGAACTTGAGATACAGCCGGCTGTGGGCGGGTGGGTGGTGACTGTTTTGTGTGAAGTGCAACAGGAGAAAAAACTGTGGTTTAATTTACTGACTACAAAGTGGTTGAAAACGTTCCTTTTGCAACAGGTCGGTCCCTACTCGCTGGCTTTGGGAGAGGCAGGGATGCACAAGGTGAGGAGGATAGACAGAGCACAGAGTAAGAAAAGGAAAAGAGGGCAGTGGCTGTGCCCCGGGTCTCAGAGGGTGTTACAGATGCTAAATGGTGATAAGCAGAGCCAAGTCAAAGTGCTGCCTGATCCACCGTGAGTAATGCCTATAACATCACCAGTTTTATTCTGCTTTGGGGGACAGCTTCTGACCTGACACATTTCTTGAACTTTATATGACCTGTTTTGTTGTCTACAAATTACTGCAGCTGACAGAAAGCTCTGTTCTGAACCTCTAACACCTCTGGGCTGGGGTTCCCCCTTCCTCCCCGTCCTCCATCTCAGCCTATGGGCAGACTGATTTAGTTAATATTTTCCCAGTATTAAATTTAAAGCTTACATAGAGAAGTTGAACTGTTCAGAGAATTACCTTTAAAGAAAGTTTAATTGTGGGTAATTTAATTTTATTACTGTTTTAAATACAGTTATAATTAATGACATAGAAGTTATGTAATTAAGACATTTTAGAAATAACTCTGAAATGGACAGATCTAAGTATGCTGTATATACACATTTAAAAGCATTAAGTACATATACATTATCTTAAAATTTGAAATAGTGATTCTAGACATGTCCCCTTTGCTCTCTTTTCAGTCAGTTAATCTTAAATAAGTGCCCTCCATTGACAGAGAAGCTTAAAGTAAAAGCAGAAGTTGGGGCTGCATACACCAAAGAGAATTGCTGCCTTTTGCCTTACGAGGTAGATCTTTGCAAGAGAAATGTTAAAGGTATTCTATATATCTTTTTTTATGTTAAGAACTTCATATGGTTAGAATCAACAGTTTCAGGTTCACGAATCTCTTCCTGATGAATGCTGAACTATAATGATGGCTTATGCCCAAGAATTATTTTCTTACGGTCCGTATTTCTTGTTTCCAGTGTATTTAAAGGTAGGAATTGTATATATGGTGGAATAAAGCTGCCTTCTTCATTCCCCTCCCCCTCCAGATATTAAATACAGTGTACAGCTTGTGTGAGCTCATTCCAGTCTTGCCTGCCTTACTTTGCTAATCCACCTCAACCTGTGCTTGGTAGGATCAACGTCTTCTGATTTGAAAGTATAATTCAGTCTTCATCTCTTTCAGTCCTAGACATTTTGTGAACAAAGACTGAGGAGTATGCTATGTTACATAGCTGTGTTAAGCATATGGACTGTTTTCTTCCAGGCATTCAGCCCAGACTATGAAAGGCATTTGGCTTTTGTCTTAGCTATACTGGAACCCAAGTACCTAAGGAATAAAACAGCACTGCAGTAATTCACTTGGTTCCTACTTATTACACCAATCTAATAAATCATGCTTTACGTGAGCCTTTACCTGAACTGCATGACTTGCTGGAACTACTTTTTGTCATCTTCATCATCAGAAATTAACAACATCAGAAATCACAACGGGATTAATAGGACACCCAAGAGAAGGCTCAGAAAAAAATGGGAAAAGCAAGCTGGGATTGTTCAAAAAAATTAAACCCAGAGTTGTATCACAAACACTGAAGGACAAAAAGAACCCCTCACGCTCTTTTGGGATTTAAGAGGACTTCAGCAACAGAGCCAGACCATGCATTTTTAAAATTGGTTCCCTTTCTCTTTATTGCTTTTGCAAGTAAAATTGATGTGAATTATTACATGCTGACTTCTGCAAAGAAAAGTGAGCTGAAGGACTAGGAAAGGAATAAAGAAAAAAAAAAAAAAGCCAACAACCTGCTTTTTTTCTATTCTTCCCCTGCCAAAATCATAAGTAGTATCTTCTGTTGAAAGAATGACTGCAGAGCTGACAGATTTACATAGTGAAGGTATTAATATAACAAAATACACCATGTAAATCTTATCGCAAAGGCTTGAGAGATTTAGCCCGAGATATTTTTCATTTCCAAGATCTTTGTTGCATCATCTTTCACCTGGCATCAAGATTTTCCTCTGGCTCTTGTTCAAACCTAATCATTTAGTGAAAGCAAAACAGCGTTCAGAATGGGTCTGAAGTTTTTATCATGCAGAAACTAATGGCTTACATATAAGCAGCAGTTCTCAGTTGCTTGCTGTTCAATTTTTCACACTCACTTCAGCTTTACACGGTACTAAGGCATGGGATTTTCTTTTTTTTCTGAGGATTTTTTTCTTTTAATATTATTATTATTAGGACCCCTTCATTTATTTCTCTCTCTTTCCCCCCTCCCTTGCTACTGTATCCAAGTCAGACAGCCTATTGAGAAACAGCAAACCATCTGTTAACGGATCTGAAGTTCTGAATTACACTTGAGTGTGTAGAGGCACTCGTGCTTAGCCAGAAACATTCATTTGAATTAAGCTATAAATGCTGTGTAAAAAGAACCATACATTTTAACGTAGGTTCATGAATAAATTTAAGGGAGGGCAACTGCACTCTAAAGTTTTATTGCTTCAAAACCCAGTATTTTTGGTGTTCTGTGATCACTTGGTGCTTTTATAGTGTGATTGAAGCTTTAAACCTTGAACTGGGGGGAGATAATTCCTGTGTTAAACCATTTGCAATACAATTTCGTTGCTGGATCTCTGGTGGAACAGAAGCTCTGTGGGTTTTTTTTGAATTTTCTTGAAAGATGGTTAAACAGGATAAAGGAAAATCTTACTCATTATTGAATTTTCTGGCATATAGCCAGGTCTCCTAGTTCCAGGCACTTTGATTATTTTCTTTAGTTGCTATCTTGCCTAGTCTAGTGTAATCTATTAATTTTTTATGGTAGGAGAGACAGCCCTGCATAGAGCTTGCAGAAATAACAAAGTGGAGAGATTGATTCAGCTTCTCTCTTCCCCTCGAACAGACATTAACACTAAAGGTAAGTCACTCATTTTCCTTACAGAACTGAGAAATTAAGCCTGATAAAGGACTGTAGGAATATCTGTTTGGTAATAAGTAAACTTTATATTTACACTGTTTAAACTGTCTTTATTATTTCAAACAACACAAACCAAGAATTTTATAGCAAACGCTGAGGAGAGGCTGATGAACCACAGAAGTGTGCTTTAGCATCACCATTTTCTGTGGAGTTTTAAAAACAGTATTTAATTTTTTTTCCAGATGTTTTTCAATAGAATTTCTTGTTTTGCAGTCACAAGCTGCCACCGCAGCCGTGGTGCACAGGGGAAAGTGAAGTGTTTTGCTGTCTAATGAGTGACGTTATTAACATTTTAATACTACTTCTGCTGTTTTAAAACTTGCCTTGATTTATAATTCAGACTATGCTGGCTGGACGCCGTTGCATGAAGCCTGTAACCATGGCAGCACAGTGTGTGTCCGTGAGATTTTGCAGCGTTGTCCAGAGGTAGACCTGCTCAGTGAAGTGGACGGGGTGACTCCTTTGCATGATGCACTGTCAAATGGACACACAGAGATTGGCAAGCTGCTCCTTCAGCACGGGGGTGAGTGCATTTATGCTAACCTGGCTTAGGGAGATGATCCGCTCGTCTGAGCCCATGTGAAGTTCGTGCTGTTTCTCTTTAATAGTTGCTTAAAATACAATGTTATTATGAAATATTTATTTTAAAACATTTTTAAGCCAAGCTGTTTTGGTCACAATAAAAATAATACTGTTTTCACACTTATGTTGATCAGCTGAATATGAAATCGACCAGGATTTTCACATTTTTTTCCAATATGGTAATGTTTTTATTCTGCATTTTGCACCATATGCATTGTAACTATATTCTCCAGACTCATTAATGAAGATAAAGATTACCTAGTCGCCAAGCAAAGTTAAGGATTTTCTTTTGTTTTGATCTATTTTTACCATGATACAAAAATAGATCAGTAAATCTCTATATAATCATGTATTTCAACATAAATTTGTTCAGCATTTATGAAAATTAATGTGCTGGTCTTTGAAGAACACAATTAGCTTGGTAATTAGTTTAAGAGAGGATTCTATATTGTAATTGTGATAACTGCTGTTTAGGGGTAGTAGTGGGAGGGATGCCTTAGTTTCTAAAAAAAGATACATTGCCCCTTAGGCAGACACAGGAGAAATGTTTTGAGCAATATTTTTATTTGGTGGCAGGGAGCTTGTGTCTTGTCTCGACATACACTGCATCCATGCAATTAACTGAGCATGTTTTTAAAAAGAAAACAACTCCAAAGACTTGTGTTGGATATCCACTCTTCCTGGTTTTAACTCATTTGCTGAAACGAGCATCTGTGGCATCCTTACCACTGACCTGCTGTGTCAGTTTAATCTCTGTGCCCAGTCCAGGTTTTTGCGATAAAAGCCATTCTTTGCACAGCCACCAGGCAGAAGAACACACTGTATTTAGATGGCCTATTACTTAATTAAGGCAGAGAAACAAGATTTTCTTCCTTCCTGGCGTGAGCCCCTCTGTATTTCCAGTCTTCTCCTGCCCCCTAAAGGCAGTGCCTGTGTCTGTGGTGCGAGCCGATGCCTTCCCCTGCAGTTCCACCTCTGTGTGTGCTGAGCCTCAGTCCTGCAGCTCCCAGGTGCCTTGTGTGTCTGCCAGCCCCCCCATCTGACACGCCAAGCCAATACCTGGGCTCAGCCCCATCGGTCTAAGTGATGCAGTGGCCAATAGTGCAGTAAGCACAGCTTCTCGATGGGAAGTGGCACTGCACTGACAGACCTGCATTTTTCCTGGGCTGCTGTGAAGAATAGGCAGTGGGTGATCCCGTTGTCCTGGGGGAAGAGCTCTGCTTGCACTTGCATTCATCACGGTCTTCTGCCAGCCTTATCTCTGCCTCTGTCACACTCTGGGCTCTGCCCTGTCACCCAGCTGACAGGCTCTGGTAGAAAGCCTGCTGCTCGTTCAGCCTGGGTTTATTCGGCTCAATAATTTAGAACACGTCTCTGCAAAAACTTTTCCTGCTGTCTTTCTCTAAAAGAACCTTCAGCTTGCAAAATTTAATTATATCTCACGATCAGTGATGGGTTAAAACAATACAGCTGTAATGACAGCAGAGTTAAAACCTCTGGTATGGCTGTGAATGCTCAGTGAATTACCTTTTGTAGTTAATTCTGAGACTGTACTCAAGTTAGAATGGCATCATTCCTTCAGCATAGTAACCCAAATTTACCCAGGAAGATTCATCTTTGAAAACACCACCTGTAGTGTGTTAACAGCCTTCCTTTTTTCTTACTTTTTTCTTACAATTATCAAGACATCTGTAAGCTGTTTAAATATTAATCGCTCCATTGTACTAGTGAGCAGGAAATACCAAAAGAACGTAGCATAATCTGAAACACTAAAACATGTCCCATTTGCATACTTTAAATCTATTTATTAGAGTAATTACTCTCTGCATTTCAGAAGTTTTATCTTAAGACCAAATTTTGAAACTCAGTGGTTGGGGGAAACTGGGATTCCTCCCTCAGTAGTTCACTTTGCTGCATAGCCTAGGAGAAGGTTGGCCACACAGTCCAGAAAAGTAAAATAAAGATTATTGTGGTAACATGCCTTTAATTTGGAGTCAAGTGTCAGCAAATATCCTGCTCTGTGAAATGCTTTGCAGAATTTTACAGTGATAACATTACATTTTTATGTACTCTGAGTATCATCACTTGATAGTTTAAGATAAGTGACCAATTTCCTTCCATTTCTGTGTGGTAGTCCTTGGGTTTCAACCTAGCAAAACTGGGAGGAAGATGAGGACAATATAATGAAGAAACTGTTAGAAGGGGTCTCTCTACATGTCCTAGATTGTACTTCAGATGTGTAACTCATCTGCTACATCAGCTTAACTTCATGCAAAAAGGAATTTAAGCAGAATCCTAGCTTCTGCCAAAAAAACAAACCCAAATCTTGCTTGGCTGCCAAATCCAATGTGCTGTTATTATTAATGTTTGTATTTTCCCTGCAGGACCAGCCCTTCTACAGCAGAGGGACTCCAGTGGAAAACTGCCACTGGATTATGTTGAGTCCAAAGCAGTAAAGCAAGAACTTTTGAGTATTGTTCACCCGGAAGAGAACATTCAAAGATTTTGTGAACGCACAGAGGAAGACTTTTGCAGTCAGCAGAGAGAACTGTGGCTGATTTTGTATAGTAAGATGCTGCTGAATTTTTGTTCACTCTTTAATCTGTCTTCACCGTTTACTTCAACTCTCAGGGAGGTAGCTCCTTCCAGTGTGCTTCCAGAAGTGGCTCATGATAACTGTAAGATGAAAAATGTATATTCTGCAGATTGGTTAGTAGATATATATTTTAGAGAGCTAGAAACTTTTCAGAAGCTACCACAGTTTCTTGAAGAAATATCTGCAAACATAGCTTTTTTCCCTGGAGAACAGATGAAGGCTTTATTAGCAACTCTGAAAACGATGATAGAGACTCCTGAGGTTTTAACTTAAATCTAACAGTTAGCTTCCAGACAAGCTACATTGGCTGAATCTTGACCCTTAAACCTTGGTACTGGGCTGTTTATTTTTTTGTCAATGAAAGAAGTAAAGATTTCACAGCACTGTGCCAGTGCCTTCATTTTAGTTACTCCCACGTAGTTAATATTTCC